TCCAGTCAACCAAATTAGCAATAATATTCAGAAGATATCAGAGTTGGGGAGCAGCTGAAGATGGTAGCGAACAAACACGTGTGTGAGTGTGTGTGTGTATGTGTGTGTGCATTTCCATAGTATTTATTGCTTGTTTTTTGGAAGCAAGAAAGCATATAGAATTTTCACCTGCATCCCATCCACATTTTTCAGTGATGGAACAAACATCTACAACATAGTTTGCATGGTGGACAATTTGTGCCCTTTAGAGTTGTTCCAAATATCTCTAGGACCAGAAGCATCATCTTAATCCTTGAAACATCTGGAAGCTGAGCCTCTCTATGGCCTGTCAATCAAATCTTCTTGAATATAGTTATATTTCTAAAGAGGCTGCGGGGCTTCTGTTGGTAGTGAGTCCTGGTGCAGGCCTTGCACAAACATGCTTCGGAAGGTTACAGCTTGCACCAGTGCACTAGCAAGGAGACCTAAGGTGTTCTACGGCTCCCCTGGCCAGCATGCCCACATGGGGCAGATTTAGCCTTGCACAGGCTGCACTATTCAGACCATTGCAGCTTGGTGTGACTCATCTCCAGAACTACTTTCCTGAGCCTCTAATTAAGCTCTCAGCCAGGCATTTCCAATTGATTTTGCTTCAAAACAAGTTTTTTTTTCTCCTTGTAACACAAAAGGATAATAAGACGAGGGGGAAGGGAGACCAGAGGAGATACAAATCATTTCTTGTTAATCAGCATTAATGCAATTTAGCCAAGGAAAAATGCCCAGTGTGCAAAGAAAGCTAGAGATTGTGGCTGACATGGTAAACAAGTTAGAAAGTTTTCCTTCCCAGATAGAGATGCTTCTGAAATCCAATGGATGTCAGATGCACTCAAGTTTATCTTTAAAGGGGAGACTAATTCAGCAAGTTGAAGCTTATTTGGTTTTCCCAGTGATTTGAGCTATCCCCACAAGACGGGAAGGCAAGCGAGGGTAAAGCCGTTTTCCAGGAACTCTCCAGCAAAGTAGTAACTCCATGCTTTTTTGTTTGCTTTGTTTTTTTTATGATACAAAGATTAGCTGGAACTTTATCATTTGTCAACTTGAAACAGTTACTGCTTGATGAGCATGAATGCAATAACATTCATTCTTTACTGCATGGCTGCAAATAAGGTCAGTTGACTTCTGCTTACTTTCCAATGTCCTCCCCTTAAGACTGTGTACTAAGCCAGCAATGCAGTGATTCCCAAACAGTGCTTTTCAAAGCACACTGTTCCCCTCTCTTGCATTCCTGAGACCACAAGAGGAACAGAATGCCTGGTGTTCCAGTGTAGTTCTCAGCTCCGAGAAGGGGAACACACACACAAGCATACATGTGTGTATATATACTGAGTATTGTATATCTCAGGGTTGCTATGTAGCCAAGAGTAACCCTAAACTTCTCATCTACCTGCCTTTGCCTCCTAAGTGGTGGGATTATAGACCTTTGCCACCACACCCAGTTTATGTGGCTCTGATGGTGAAACCCACGACTTCTCACATGGTAGGTAAACATTCAACCAACTGAGGTACATTCCCAGCCTCAAAACATGAGTTTTAAAGATAGGTGACGCTGTCAGCAGCTCTTCTTCTCTGGGTCACTCCACACACAAAAGGCCAAACCCGCTGAACAAATGATACAGATGAGATATTTCTGGGGTTTTGGAAGTGTTTCTGGAGAACCTTTTCTCTAGTTTTTACTGTTTCTTGAACTCATGTCAAATATGCTACAAGCTAGATGCAGCATGATAGTCCCTTGTCACCCTTTCATTGGGAAGAGGGAGACAAGATGGTCTCATTTAATACAGCATTCTGATCTCTGTGTCACATTTCACAAGCAAGCAGTCCATCATTCACATGGCCTTCTCTCTGCCAAGCAAGATCAGTGTTAGCAGATGTGTGAGAAACACAAAAAGTCTCACTAATTTGGGCAACAACTGGCCATTCTCTAACTCTGCCTCTGCTTACTCTGAGAAGTTCCCTGGACTCCCCCTAATGGGAACTGGGACTTCCTCTGCATGGTCTGTTCCCTTTTGGAAAGTCCACTGTAAAACCTCAATAGGCTATAGGCGCCTGGAAAGTAAAGACCAAGGCCTATATGTGTTTGTTTTTTTGTTTATTATGTGATAACTGATAGCAAACATAATCAATTTGTAAATCAGTGAGACATAGACACATGAATGCATGCAAGAATGAATGAATATTTTTAAAATGCCCGATGTATTTGTTCTAACGACCCTCTAATGCGTGACTTTTACTCATGCATTACAGATTATAATCCTGTATCTTTCTGCTTTTTACAAAAGAGGGTGACTAAGATGAAGCAAAGGAGAAAATGTCAAAGAAATAGAAGTGGAGGAGGGGGGGGAAGAGGAGGAATCCTAAACTCTAAAGGATCAACAAAACAATAAAAAAAGCCCAAACATGAGAGCTTATCACTAGTGTTTATGTAAGAGTGTGTGGATGCTGTGTTGTGTCAGGGTCGATGTTGGTAACAGTTCTCCTTATGTTCATGAAGGAAGAGACACATGGAGGCCAAGAGGCAGATGACTCTCTTCATACTGGATAGTGGAGTATGCTTGAGAGTATTGAGAGTAGATAAACCTTGTATCTCTGACCATAATGCTACATTTTGACCAACAGAGGGCAGTCACAAGTGCTGCATACATTTCCCCATCAACTCCCAATAATAATATTATTCCAGATAATATAATATGGATAGTCTTACTTCCAGAGCTAGAATATTTGAGAATGCTTTCGTGATTAAAAATATAGCCTATATAGTTTTTTGACCTTCTATTTGGTGCTTATAGGTTGGAAATATGGGTTAAACCTGGTTGAAAATGAGTATGCTTTTAAAGCTAATGTTACAGAAGTAGAATCATATTCCAAATGCCGTTCTTAGTGATTCACACATGTTAGCACATTGAATCATCACAAAAGTCTCAGAGGTTACCATTTCATCAGCCCCAACTTCCAAGCCAGAAAAACTTAACATCAGATAATTTAGGCAACTTGTAGAGCCTGGAATCAAGGAAGATTTATCTTACTCAATGTGTTATATAATACCCCCATCAGAACATTTTCAGTTTCTACCATGACGCTTTGTTCCTCTGAGCTCTACTGGATGTTACAAAGAGCTGGAGCTGGCATTGCTCACTGAGAAGCTTCTAGACAAAGAATGGAAGCCAAAAGAAATATAAATGAAAAGATACCACAGAGTTAACTATTTTTAAGTCAGCTTCAGCATCATATTTTGTATATTTGTGAGGTTTGTAAGTTACAAGAGGCATTTTTTAACTTTGACTTTAATATGCTTAATTATTAATCTTGGCCATGTACTTCACCTCTTTGCCATATCTATTCATAAAGTAAAGTGTGTTTGCACTATCAAAATCCTGTCTGGTTACAAAGTTACCCCATCATAGCTCTTTGAGGCTTTGCTTATGATTGGCACTGACTTGGAGACAAATGTTAACAGATTGGTAAGAAACAAAAACAAGATAATTTTAGTTCACCATGACAAATACTATTGAATATTTGTTAGGTTGCCAAGCAACTGTGCCAGGCACAAGGATTAAATGCCATTTAAGACTCAACTCCTACCTTTAAAGGGTTCTTCTATGGAGCTTGGAAAACAAGCCCAAATCAATAACCATAATGCAGTGTGGTAACACAATAAACCCTATGTCAAAGTGCACGTGGAATGCCACAGTGACAGAGGAAGACAGGTCTGGGGTGTCCTGGGAATTTGTATTTGAAATTAGGATTGTAGGGCTGGCAAGATGGCTCAGCTGGTAAATGCACTTTCAACACAACCTGATAGCCTGAGTTCCATCCCTGGAAAACACAACAAACCTGATACTGTGGATCACAGCTGTAACCTGGCACTCCCATGGTGAGATGGGAGGTGGAAACTGGAGAATTATCTGGAGTCTCCAAGAGCATTTTGATTGGGGCACTCAGAGTAAAAGAAATGAAAGACCTTGCCAAGAACAAAGTGGCAGAAGAGTCCTAACACCTAAAAGTTGTCTTCTGACCTCCATAGATGTGACTTGGAAAATGTGAACACACACACACACACACACACACACACACACACACACACACCATATAAATACATACATAACAGATAGATGATAGATAGATAGAATATAGATGTGTATACATTTTCCATGGTCTGTTTAAAGCATAGAACAATGAAGATTTTCTTCAAAGATTGGTTTTAAAACTGGATGAAAATCATAGAAGACTATCCAGAATTTTGACCATATCTGCTCACTAAAATGCTGAAGTTAAAGGACAATTAAGTCCCTAGTCCATCCACTGAAAATCGCTCTCCTCTATGAAGGCTGTTCAAGGAGGACACTACAACAGCTTTAATAGGACAGTGATCAAGGACTTTTAGAACAATTAAACAAAAGTAGTTAAATTTTAGGAATGGAAGTGACTTACAAAGACACCTAGCTTTACTCTATCATTTTGTAGAAAGGTGACAGAGATTTGGCAGTAAAAATAAAATCACAGTTGTTCAAATGGAATACATCTAGTTGATGGTCAAAGCCAGAGCCTTTAGGAGATGGCTAGACAGTTCAGTTAGTAATTCTACTTGAGAATTCTGGAGACAGACTGCTTGGGTTTCACCATATACTTGACTGGGCTGTGTTGAGATATTTAAACTTCCTGTCCTTCAGTTTTCTACTCTGTGGAATGGGAACAAGACTATATTACCTACCATAAGGAAATTGGAAAATATGAATAGAACAACTAAGACTGGAATGACATGGTGAAAATTAATTGGTCTTCTAAACACTATGGTTGGAACTCGGGTGTCCTATTTTCTACCTTGAAGTTCTTTTTGTTGCAACAGGAATGAAAGAAGCAAATGAGGTTCTTCCCATTTTTCTTTCTCTGATACAGAAAGCAATCACTGTTTTAGATTTGTGTGCTCATGTGTCATTCTTGTTCTCTGACATCTATCCTTACAGGGCCAAGGAAATCAAGATCAAGTTGGGAATTCTCCTCCAGAAGCCAGACTCTGCTGTTGACCTTGTCATTCCGTATAATGAGAAGCCGGAGAAGCCAGCCAAGACCCACAAGTGAGTCATGAATATGAATTCCTCACATTTTCCTTCAGACGATTGTTGTTTTTCAAGTGTGTAGCATCGTCATTCATCTGTAGGACTACCCTTTCAATTACTCACTGAAGATCATTTGAGTTCTCAAAGAGTCCATTCGTAAATAGTGTATTTTTAGTGCTTCCATGTATAGATCTTAGCATTAAATACATGCAGAATTAAAAGAAACAGAGCCTTGCTTCATCTTTGGAAAGATGAACTGTATTTTATGAAATGGCACCAGCCACTGAGTTATTGACTGTAAGGTCAAAACATCTGATAAATTATTGGCTTGGGTCAAGTAACCCTGATCCAATTAATTATGAGTCCTGCATACTCAGCAGGAAGTAATAGCCAAGGCCTTTTCCTTGAGAGGGAAATGTGAACAACATCATGCTGATGAAAAGGCAGACAATTTAGGGCTCAATGGTTTCTTCTTGAATATACAAGGTTCCCTTCAAGGTCCAACAGAAGAGCTACAACTTCAGGGAGGTGTGAACACTTGCCTAGCTGTTCCCACTTAATGTAATCAAGCATTCTTTTCCCAGCTCTTAAAAATCATGTTCTTCATATGCATTTTACAGTTCTCTGTCTCTCAATTTCAGCTGTGTAAATCACCTCACCTCCACCCTTCCATCAGTGTAGGCATGGCAAGAAGGTATGATTACAAAAAGTCAAGAGGCTACGCCCATGAGTCCACCTACTTTGACTCAGTAACACCATCCATACCATCGCCACTGTCTACCATCTTTCATTAACTCTCTAGAGCCTTACTGTCTAGACAGATGCACTCAATTTTCCCTTTATAACAGAGGTACCCATGAAAATGATGAAGGGAAGCCAGATAGTCAAAAGGACACCAACTCCTTCTTTCTGCTACCTAAAAGCTTCAAGATCATAGACGTGTGGGAAAAGTACACGTCCCTTTTAACTTCCACTTCTCTTTTTTAATTTAATATTTGTATAAATTGGCCAACTCACCCTTTGTCCAAATGACCTTCAATTTAATATAGTTGATTGGCTGGGAGATACAGAACTGGGTTATTCTGTTTTAAAGTCATTTTCCATCATCCTAAGTGGATATTTCCATTTTCCTCCTTTTATTACTTCAAAGTGTTCACAAACCGGAAGTGAGGCATAATTGAATTTTCTACATTTAAAAGGAGAAACTAATTCAATGTGAAGCAGCAGGCTGCCTGGACTAGTAGGCAACGAGAACCACATTTCATAGCCAGCAGGTCAAAAGGTCTATTTTGAAGCAACCAATGTGGTAACTATTGATCTGTTGAGATTAACATTTTAAATGTAGCTCTCTATTTCCTGCTTTCAATCTCTTCTCTAGAATGCCACACAGACGCTTGAACTACTTGGCTCTTAGGGATTCAAGAGAGAAATGGTTGGAAAAAACTCGGGGCTAATATTTATTGTCTTATTTACTCTCCTTGTCTTCCATTCCCTCCCTTCTTCCAAAAATATTATTTGTTTTTGAGAAAAGAACAACCCTTGCCATCCCTGGGGAATACTGTGTGTGACTGCTGTTTTCAACCTTTGGAAATGAACAAGTCCTCCTTGCAAACACGCATGCACTATTTTACCTCTTCACATTGGGTAAATTTCTCTGTTTTTACCTTCAGGGAATGACCTTGCTCTTCATGGGCTCAGCCAAACTCATTTCTTCACTTACATATTTCTCTGTATTTCTTTTTTTTTAATTTTAATTTTAAATAGCTTGTTTTACATGTCAATCCCAGTTCCCTCTCCCTCCTCTCCTCCCACCCCCCCCACCATCCCCTCCATCCTCCCACCCTATTGCCAATTCCTTCCATATAGGGAATATCTAGAGCCTGTCATTTCACTCAGGGTAGGGTCCAGGCACTCCCCCAAGAGTCCAGGCTGAGAGAGTATCCCTCTTTGTGTTATGGACACACGATGTCTGTTAGTATTCAAGGGATAAACACTGATCCACTTCTCAGGACCCCATAGGTTGCACAGGCCTCCTCACTGACTCTCACATTCAAGGGGTCTGGATCAGTCCCATGCTGGCCCCCCCGAGCTGTCGGTCTGGGGTCCAAGAGCTCTCCCCTGTTCAGATCAGCTGCCTCTGCTGTTTTTGCCAGCCCATTCTTTGCCAATTTGCTCATTGCTCCTCTCTCTCTGTTGCTGGGTTCCTTGGGATCAGTTCAGTGGGTGTTTGCCTCTGCTTCCATCAGTCACTGGATGGAGGCTCCAGGATGGTTATAGACATCAAGTTCATTATCAGGAATGGGCATTCGGGGTGGTCTCTACACTATTGCTTAGCTTGCCAATTGGTGTCATCCCTTTAGATCACTAGAGGTCACAATGGTGCCTGATCTGTCTTCTAGCCTATGATTCCCTCTTCCCCCTATCCTACCCTCCCCCCCCCCCCGGTTTCTTTTAAACCCATGTTTTCTGATGAAAAATAAATAAATCTCTTGGTGGAAGGTATGTATTTTTAGCTTCTCTCATTTTCTTTGGGCAATTGCTTGGAGGAAGTACTTTTATTTTTTAATATATTTTAACTTCTCGTCTGATTTTTAAAAAATGAGCCCCCTCGAAATAGCCGAAAATAAGCTGTTCTTAGTCTTATGACAAGTCCCAGCTTCTCTTATCATTCTAGTGTTCAAAACTTGGTCCTGGGTCTTCTTCCATTGGGAGAAAACAAATATTATTATTCATGCTAGAAAAAAACATCTCTCTTAACCTTTTAGTTGGTACACCTTTCTTTCTCTTTGCTTTCATTGGCTAAGGCTTGCAAACTTTCATCTGCTCCATAAGTCTTCCATCCTTGATGAAGGTATTGTCCCTGGATGTTTGACTTCTCTGAAGAGTTGACTTGTTTTGTCATGGCTTCCTCTTTATTAGGACTCACTTCCTTAATTCATGGTCCTGTGTCCTCCCTCTCCCTTTCCTGCTCTTCCCACCCTCCAAATTCCCAAAAGCTCTGCTGCAGGTTATAAGAATGAATAATAACCAGAATTTGGAAGCCATATACATTGAGTTTGTAATAACAGTATAGCTTTTAATGTGCCGAATTACAAAATGTCAGGGACAGACACTCTTTCAAGTAGGTTTTTATATTCTAAATGTCCCTCCTTGTTGACATCTGTTATCAATTTTTAGCTGAATGTATTGATCTTAATGTGTTTACCACTTTAAAACCCCAGAATGGCCTCCACAAATAACTAGTCCAAACCCTAGCTAATAACAAAAGTTACAGCACATTATCCTGTGTGTTCCTTCAGAGTTAACCTAGTTAACTGCAGAGTGAGCCTTGAAAGGAAATACGTACAATTTTATAGATATAAAGAACAGGAACTTCAGAAGTATTTAACTTATTCATTAGGCCAAGAGTACCATTGACCATGGGGTCCTTAAGGGTTCAGTAAATAGGCATGGACTTGAGCCTGTGTGTGCACTATAGGACAGGAAGGAAGAGCATAGCAGGCTCTCATAAATGACACCAATGAACTCAAGGTTTGTTTTCTTGTCAAAAGCAGGGATATGGGAAAACATGATCAAGGATAATCAAGTATATACCAGACACTGTATAGACTATCAACCAAACTAAAACCAAGAGGTACCATGCCTACAAAATTCAGCCATTGGTGCTCCTGAGTTAAATTCTTCCCCGGGACTAATACTGGCCAGTATTTCCAGCAGATGTAGCAGTAATTATGACTCTGTTCATTCAAATCTAAACAGTGAATCATCTATGGCTTTTGACAAGGCTGACTCTGGGTAGACTAAGCTAGATTTTGGTTACCTATCAATTTGGCACCTGTTTATTAAAAGATTCCTACACAGTATATTTTGCTCATGAACCATAAAGTCCATGAACATGGACTGAGTCTTTATCCAATAGCCAACAGATGGAAACTATAGGTGAATTATTTACCACATTTTAATGTCCATATTCAGACCCCAAATTGAACATATATCTTTGGTCTTTGCAGCCAAACTCACTTATTACTTCAGACTGATGCTGTGGGCATAGGAAAGAATGGGAAAGTTCTCTAGGAATGAAACATGACCTTTGCAGGGGTTGTGTGTGCTATTAGCCTGTGAACTATCCAGCAAGCGAAAAGCAGTTAAGAATGGAAAAAGCTGTCATTTCCAAACCAATGCGGTCACTTCCTGAATCAGGTGGCATTTGCACTGGGCATTATAAAACACATAGTCAATCACTTCTATAAATGTTTATCTTGTCTTTCATCTAAGCTAGCTTCCTCCCTGTCACTCACACCCACACAGGGAGAGGAGACTCTGTGCTCACCCTCTGTGGTCAGCAATGGCCTTGATGACCAGGATGCTCATTGGCTATTTAGGTCTGCATCTATCTTGTTTCCAAAGAAGTCACACTTAATGAGGGCTGGCAAATTCTGAGAATCAGGACAGGATGAACCTGTTACCTCCTAGACTGGTAATCAGAACACTGGGCTACATGCTGTGGGGGGATCTGTCTTGTCAACTACGCCCTTAAATCAATTGAACTAATTTCACCCCTAAGCAGGCTGGGCACATGTCCCTTTCAGGAATTTAATCTTGGCCGTGATGTGCTGCTGATATTGACCATTACTTGGCTTTATAATGAGACCATTTGGGACAAATTGCATTGGTAACATGTTTAAATCCAGGGCACCTGGTCATGGTATTGTTTCTTCCTGTGTGTCTTTATGCTAACCAAAGAGGAAGTGCAGTAAAAGCTATTTCATTTTATGAGAATATTTATAAAATCAGGAGGCTCAGAGAGTGAACCAGGCCTACCCTTTGCTCTGAGTTAGTTTCTGTTGTTCCATTGTATAATGGGCTCTTGATTCTGAGAATATCTGGACTTGATGGTTGTCTGTTATGTATATGTAAAGTATTGAACACATTGTGAATATGTGTATGCAGAACAATATATATGTTATTCCTATATATGATATATAGGAAAAATTCTATATATAATATAGGTTACAATACACACACACACACATACACACACACACACACACACACATATATATATATATATATATATGAAAAGTGTTTGGTATGAAGCAACATGAACAAAAGGGTATTATTGACCATAACTGTGATTACCATTGAAATTAATGGAAAAGATATGGGTGCATATTTGTTAGCCTTATTGATGCCCATTTCTCTTCTTTCTGCTCCTTTATAGTAACCATGGGGAAAGGGATGGTAGTCCAATTGTTAGAAATACATTTGTGAGAAATGTTATGCTTTCAGTATGATATTTATGTGTCTCACTAGGAAAGCAGAACCCATCTAAGTTTATTCCACATGATTTGTTTTCCCTGTTTTTTTACTTATCTTTTAAAGACAGAAGACATACATTTGAAAAACTGAAATAAAATTTTCATTCACACATGTCCTACAAAGAGAGGTTAGGGGATGGTCACAATAACACTGGACCTGAAAGACTTACCCCATCTTGGATTCTTTATAGAAATAAAAATGAGGATGCATATGCCTGGGAAATAAAATACAGATTGAAAATTGTCTCAGTGACATCAGTTGCTAATGTCAATGATTTAAATGCCCAAAGGTATTATTTCACAAAAAGCAGAAACATGAAGGCTTCTGAATTGTCCTGAACAGTTACTAAACCATCTAAGACATTGGGAAAAAAAACCCTTCATCAACTTCATCTCATGATGAATGTATTGCCAGTCTGCTTTAATTGGATGATGAAGATCAAATGTAGTGATTCAAGGGTACAAGCACTGTGAACCCAGGAAGACAAAGCTATTTTCCCTCAGCAGCTCACCTTGGTACATTCTGATGGGAGAAGACAATTGGTAGTTATGACAAGTACATTCATTATCATGCCTGTGGTTAGCTTCCTTCTTACACTGTCACCCTTCTCTGTCCTTATCCTTGATTTAGGCCCTCGCTGGACGAGGTCCTGCAGTGGCGCCATTCCCTGGACAAACTTCTCCACAACAACTGTAAGTCCACATGGTTCTCACAAGGTTCAGACTAGGAACAGACACAAAGCAGCTTCCTTCATCGTGGCCTGACGCATACAAGGTGTTCAGTGAATGTGTTTTTGAATGAATGAGCAAGTTAATTGAGTTTGTTTCTTGGGACCTATAAACTCCATGAATGTAGAACAGCCATGTAGAACAAAAATATTTGTATTTATCCATTCATCTTACTCCAGTAATTTAGGGGCCAATAGCATTTTGACATGGTGAGCTGATAAATTAGGAATGTTAAGTAGCCTAGAAAGGTCTAGTCACTGCTGTTATAAAGAAACAAAAGTTAGAAGAACTGTTTTTAGAATTCTTAAGAGGGAAGATATCAATGTGTCCATTTGCAATTCTTTTCACTCACACTGTACATTTTGATTTTAAGGGGACAAGGGCTATTAGAATAAATAAGGTAAAGGTGAGGGCTAAGCCAGAAGTAGGTAACATTAATACCTTAACTTTGTTGAGGAGCCAAAGTCTTTACAATTACAAAGAGATGATTATCTTAATGTGAATTTGAGGTTTGAGGATTTCACAGCAATATTTTCTACTTCTCAGAGAAGAAATTACGCTCGTATCCGTGCATTTGTTTATATATATGCATAATTTCTTCAAAGTAATACATGGAAAAGCATTCCATAGCTATTTTAGCCAATGTTTTCCTTCAATGTGATACCTCTCCATTCACTCTAGCTCCATCAATAAAAGGTCTTAAGTTATGGGTATGAAAGACCCAACAGGTAAGATAGCCTGTGTGTTATTACTGCCTGCCCATCGCTTCTGCATTATATATTTCACTGTCTCTTCTCTCTGAGTCTCTCTGTGACTCTTCTTTCTCTATGTCTTTCTTTCTGTTCTGTCTCTGCTCTTTTTATGTCTAGTCATTCCTGAGGAGGACTAGATATGCCCAAACAGTTTTATGCCAGCATCCAGACATTTCGGCATCATCATTCTAGAAAAGCAATTCATGGCCTGTTACCTGCATACCTGACACTATGCTTCATGGATAACTGCAAACCAAGCTGTTCAGTATCTCTTACAACACATTATTTTTGAATCTACTGAAACTAAGAATCTATAATCAGAAATAACTGATATTAGCTGTGATTGATGTAAAACAAGTAAGAAAGGCAGATACATAAAAACATGTACTACTTGAAACATAATGATCCCTTTCTGGATGCTTGACTTGAGAAATTTAAACCTTTAAAGTTGGAAATGGTGGCTCATACCTGTAATTCAAGCACTTGGGAGTCTGAGACAATAGGATTTCTGTGAGTTGAAGGCTGGCTTGGGACACATGGTGAGGTCTGGACCCATCTGAACTATAGAATAGGATGTTGCCTTAAAAGAATTAGCAAAACCAAACACACACACACACACACACACACACACACACACACACACCCCAAAACTGAAGGGGTAGGGGAAGCATTTTTGCTGTTTCATAAGGATCATTTGGAATTCTTTGTATTAATATAGGCCATTGCCTCTCAGAGTTGATAGAGTTACCCAAGCATTCATTAAATCAAACTTTTCTGTGGTAGAAATAAATTCTAGACAAGCTGTTGTTCAATCTTTTCTCATTATCAAGGATCTATGTACTCAAATTCATTTTTAAATTATTTGATGTATTAGTAATGTGTGCATGATTGTGTGTGTGTGTGTGTGTACCCGCACGCGTGTGTATGTACATGCATGTGTGTGGGGAGACCAGAGGGCACCTTTCAGGAGTTGGCTGTCTCTTTTCACTGAGGTTTCTGGCACACAACTCATCAGGTTGGCCCTGCCAATGCTTTCACCAGCTGAGCCTTCTCACTGGCCCTAAAGATGATATTTAATCACTTGGGGTCTTTGGCTTTGTTCTTAAACTACATTGCATTCTTATAAGTTTTGCCTTCAATTCTAAAACAGGAGCCATCTGTTTTCATTTGTCAGGTCTATAGGGCACATAACAAGTATGTTGATCTTTAAAAACAAAAATAGATTGCACATGGGAGCTTACATAATTTCACCCTAGCACCGTCAGGGACAAGGATTCTCACACACGAGCATTTTTAAGAGCACACAGGGATAAAGCCAGTCTGTGACAGTACAGTTTTTATTTGGGTCCTCTTTTCCCAAGAGTTGCAAAAGGTCAGAGCATTTCCTCAGACACCCCCATGGGCTGGACTGTCCCTTGGGGCACAATGCAGCTGCATCCAGGCTTCAGTTCCCGTCTTCACAGCCTGCCTTGGCTTCTTCTTTGCTTTTCAGTTTTCCTCATTCTATGTCCTGATTCATCATCCTCATTACCTCACCGATGGATGCCACGCTTTTCACTTATGACAATGATAATAATAAAAGTGATATGAAAGATATTTTCATTTTCATGTATGACTTGTTCACATATCCATTCTAAGAAATTTGCATATATTCTTCTATTTAGTGATTACAATAATCCTGAAACTTAAGTACAGCAACCATTTCTATTTTTTAGATAAAGAATCCATTATTCAGAGAGCTAGGTAGCTTGCCTATGACATACAATACTGTAACAGTAACAAAGTTGGGTTATTTACTTCCCCTTAAAGTTCATGCTCTTTGGTCTTGGGGGTTGGATTTCATAGTTCATTGAGACCTGCCATTACGTATGAGGGACATATATTTGAGGAGGGAGGTAGGAAAGGGGAAGTGAAGATAAGGAAAACTCAGATAATTAACAGTCTCATGGAAAAGATGACTGAACAAGCAGATAGTAGCAATTGGGGGGAAAAGGAGAGTGATGTCTCCCCTCCATTTGACAAAGTCTCCAAGAGTGAGCAGGTGGCAGTGGGAATAAGATGATGTCACAGATGAGGCAACATTTAATTTGGTATAAATAATGATGAAGAAAGCCAGTGTGTACTGAACTTCATGAAAATTATGCTTGGCAGCATATAAAAGCCATGTGTGAATTATTTAGTCCCTTACCACAGTACTGTCATGCAGGTTTCATCAGAATTTGCATGTAACATACAAAGCGACAGAGTTTCCAATAGACTAAATGACTTGTACATGTTATTTCATAATGAAGTGTGTCAAGATTTGCCACTAAGCAATCTTGGTTCTAAAGTCTAAGCTTTGAACTGATAAATCGTGCCATGGTTTTTATAAATTACCAATGCTATTCCAGTATCCTCCCCCAATCCATCTATGATAATCTATTTGTACTAATCTCATTTTCAATATTTTATAACCATCTGGCTTAAATTCTAGGATTTATTTAATGTTCCTTTTATTCTCCAAGGGGTTTTATAGGTGGTCCCTCTTCCCCTTATATAAAGCTGCTACTTTGATTTGTCTAATATAAAAAATTGCTATCACTTATTAGGGCCAGCTCTGAGGTTATAATGTATAGCTGCCATATGATGTATGGGCACCATACCCGCAGAATGCTTATGGCCAGTCATCAGATGGATTTCATCAGAGTCATGAATAGTGGGACGCCTGGGTATGCTGAGAGATAATTTGAGGCTCTGTGCTGGCTCATACAGGCCACGTAGTGCTTTCTCAGGGTTCCATATTGTGAAGTCCACAGGTAAAATAAGTGGGGTAAGAAAGATTTGTGTACCTTGTAGAACAGAGATATTTGGCCTAGAATCTTTCCAACTCTGACTCAAAAAAGATACATGCAGAGGGAATGAGAATTCAACAGAAAAAGTCTCTAAGGAAAGGACCAATAAAAAAAAAAACAGAGTGTAGAAAAGGCAGTGCTATAACCTATGTGCCAAAAGCTAGATGGGAGAAAGAGTAGGTTTAAACGGCTCCCACACAAGCAGGGCATAATGCTGTTTTATGTGTTTCGGTTTAAAGTGCATACATTGACAAAAAGCCTTGCAGTAGTATTGTGGAATTCACCAGAGAGATGAAACCAGTATTCATGGGTCTCTGAGACAGAAAGCTGGTTCACAAGTTCATTTCCTGCTGTGAACCGAGCGCTAAGATTCCATGAGTCTGAAATAACAATGTTTTGAAGGATTGATCTTCTCAAAATTTTACATAGACATGGAATGGGTGACTCCGATGTCTGATGATGTATGAGACTGTGGAGCTGTGGAGCTGCAGGGCTGCAAGGAGGCGAGGTTGTGGGGCCGTGGAACTGAGAGTTTGCCACAAGCACATTCCATGAAAATCTTTGTCCTCTGCAGTCTGAGATCTGGTTGAATGGCTGCTTCTATGACCCCATTTCCTGATAGCTAAAAGGTGACTTGAGAGTTTTTCCATTGTAATCGAGAGCATCCAGAAGTTTAGCCATTACAATGATAAAACTGGGTCTTATTTCTTTCTTATTTCTTAAATGCAACAACCATTTCTATTTTCAGGGAAAAGAATCCATTATATCGAGAGCCAGATAACTTGCCTATGACACTCAATACTGTAACAATAACAAAATTGGGGTATTTACTTTCTTTTAAAGTTCATGTTCTTTATTTCTGTGGAGGGATATGCTGATTTCATAGATCATATTGAATTTCAGTTAGCACTAAATTATGATTAGTAACACAGTAGAAACTACACTGGGGATAAGAAGAAGAAATGTGAGTAGAGAAAACTGTTGAAGAGACAAGGACTGTTGTTCATGCCTACTCATGTTCCCAGATGTTTGATGACAGTGTTCTAGAAGGGCAGAGGAAAGACTAAATTGCCAAGTGTCTTTCTTGAGTCCTGAAACCACTACTGAACCTAATCCCAGTTTATTTTCAGCCTGGCCATTCTTTTCCTTCCAAATTGAGTGTGGCTACAGGGAAGACCATGAACAGCATGGGAGGAATAAAAATGTACTAAGAAGATAGCTCAGTGGTTAAGTGCTGCCTTGTCATGTAACTTAAAGGATCAGAGTTTGGATCCCCAGAACTCATGTAACTACCAAGTGGGATTGCTGACCCAGAGGAAATTCCAAACTCAGAAGGCAGAGCCAGGGGATCCCTGGAGCAAGCTGCCCAGTGAGATTAGCCTCATCAGCAAACTCCGGGTCTGACTGAGACTTCCTATCTCAAAGAGTAAGGAGGAAGGGCAATGACGAGTCTTAGCATCAACCCTGGGCCTCCACATGTGCACCAGCATCCAAGCACAACACATGTATCAGCACACATATACACACGAACACACACACACACAAATGGCCCTGTATCAATGGTTTTTTCATCACATTTATTTTGTGTTATTCAATAGATAATGACCAACAAATGGAAATTTACAGTCAATAGACAAGAGAGCAACAAGTGTTCAAGAAAAAGAGAAGTGGATTGAAATTAGGTCAAAAAGGAATTTACAATGTGGATATATTACCTAAACAGAAATAATGGAATGTAAACATGTCCTGGTGGAGGCACATAAGGGGAAGCCTATACCCTGAAGTTGGCGGCCGTCATTTCTGACTTCTGTCTTGGAAGGCAAATGGCACACCAGACCACGTTGCCAAGACTGTGACCTTTACATAGCCTGTGGACACTGGAATTGTTTCCTCTCCTTCCTTCATAATAGCATATTCATTTTCCTTCATAATAGCATATTTCACTGCTTATAGATACAGTTAGGATCTTGGTCAAACAGTTTAATGCATAGACACGCATATGCACATGCACATTCCTTATTTAAAGAAGAAGGGAACAGCATACATTTGGATTTGTTTTTCTTTATTTATCTCCTATACCTTGTTAAATCCTCTTCATGAGCTTTCTCCATCTACCATTTGGGTGGGAAGGAAGCAGGAAAGGGTAGGGCTCAGGAATTATCATATGTACACAAATAACACCTACAACTGTTCACAGACTCACAGTTGTTCTATTACATTTGGTGTCATCTAAACACTGACTGACATAAGATTTACTGGTGGGCACAATAACTGTATGTGACAACTTCACCTGGTCCGTTTGTTCAGATATCAATTTGAATACTCCTATTCTACCTCCCCGAGTGTGAACTGAACTTGGGTTCCTGCTGTCACTCCATATCTTCTCTTCAGCAGTTTTTATTGTATAGATGTTCAATGAGTCTCTCCATTTTTTTCTCTCTACTTTCCTTGGAATCTCTGAACTCTGCTGGGGAACTAAGCTTATTTCATTTACCAAAGTGATAAATTGTGATCACTCAAAATTCACCTGCAAAAAGAGGAAACAAGATAATAGTTTCTGACAGTCATTGTAAATATCACTTATTTTTTAACAAACCAAGATGTTCTTTGGGGCTAAGAATATAGTTTTGTGTAGAGTGCGTGTGTAGTATGCATGAGGCTCTTAATTCAGTTTTCACTACTAAAAACAAAAGTTTTCTTTGGAATTGATGTGTATCCTGAATGTTATCAGTACTGATGAGACTCCTCAGTGTCATAAACACTTGTCACTTGAATGTATACTGCATTCACTTGTGTAAAAGACAGTGAGGTGACACCCTCTGTCCAGTGTCCGAGTGGATGATAAGCAGAGCTGCTCTCCCTTGCCTCTGCATCTCTGTCCCAGCTTGCCTCCATTTGAATGGAGTGATAAAGGCAGATGAGGATATAGTCAAATCTTTCCATATCGTCTCCAGCATCTTGGTTCTAGCCTCATGTTTTTTCTCTCAGTTCAAGTGCAGGAGGGAAGAGGACTCCTAATGGAGAGATCCTGTTCCAAGAAACAGAGCCACACTTCTCTTGAGAAGTGGCTTAGGTAATGGATAAATGTGTGAGAGACTGCAGAATCAGATAGCCTGCACTTAGTTGCTAGACATTTTGGAGCAGTCACTTGCCTTCTGTCACCTCACTTACAAAACAGGACACTTATAGTTCCTGCTCTTCGGGTATACAGTGAGAATTAGATGAGTTTCCATTTGTAAGATTTTTAAATCAATGGCAGAGTGTATATACCGGAAGCAAAATTGAGTTATTTAGCTATAGCTTGTCAAATCAATGAATGAAATCCTCCTACCGACATTTTAATTCTTAGATGGACTTGCCACCTTCAAGAGCTTCCTGAAGTCTGAATTCAGTGAGGAAAACCTTGAGTTCTGGGTTGCCTGTGAGGATTATAAGAAGATCAAGTCCCCAGTCAAAATGGCGGAGAAGGCAAAGCAAATTTATGAAGAATTCATCCAGACTGAGGCTCCTAAAGAGGTTGGTACTGGGGGAGGGCAGGTGGCTGAGTGCATTCACTTAAGAGTCAGATCAGCACACTCCCAGGCACAATATTTGGAGCTAAAGGCTACTGTACTTATAAGTACAGTACTGTGTTTGTAAGTACCAGGAAGTACCTACTGAATACAAGGGCAGTGTTACGGAGTCAAGCACATTTGACTTAAATGCTGTACAAACCACTCTGTAACCAATGCCTATTGGAGCATCTCTTCAGTACCATGCAACCAACCTTAAGTAAGAAGGAAACCAATGTTAAGTTTGGGATGAAATGTAGGATCCAGTTTCTTCCCTTTGAAATGTAAAGTTATGAGAATTAAACAAAGAGTAGATGTAAAAAAAACACATGAATGCCAACTAATTGATGCCAGTGAATCCAGCCTTTGACAACTGTCCTTTGTTGGGGCAACAGGACTTCCATTCACTAGTACCAAATAATACAAGATAACAGTGCAAAAAGTATTTAAAGCCAACAAATATACCACTAATAGACTGCAGAAGACCAGGTATGTTCAGGTTTCAGGAAGTCTGTCTGTGCTTATCTTTGCCATTGATGAAACCAAACTGGAAAGCTTTTTGAAAAATCCAGAATGGCCACAGCCAGACCTGTCCATCTGGTCAGGTCCTGTAGTCCCACATGGTTCTCTTGACTCCAATGTGGACATTGAATTATCAACAAGGTTTGAAGTAAAGCACAGAGACGACTGATTGAGCCCTTTGAGTAGTCAGTGATCTATTATAGATGATCTGTAAAGGGAAAGATTCCTCTCATCTGTTTTCTTTTGCTTATATAATAAATCTTATGGAGGCAACCTGAGATATTTATTCCTTTGTCTGTGTAGTATCCTTAGCTGGTCCTTTCAAGAGACAGACGTGGGTGTGGAGATACAGTGGGAATGGCAGAGCACTTTGTTAGCATCGGCAGGTCCCAGATTTAATCCTCTGGTACAGACTAACCACACAGTAGACCAAGCACTGGTTCATCCCTGTTTGTTTTATGGTTAAACTGCTGCTTTCTGGCTTGTTTTTGACAAAGATTGGTTCTAAAACTATGCCAAGGGTCCCTGGCCACCAAGTGTTCTTTGCTGTCATCAGAAGGCAGGAAGCCTAATGAGTAGAAAGTCTGTGAAATCAAGCATTAGTTTACCTGCATTCAAGTCCATTTGATAAAGCACTTGTCAGAGAGATGATCTCGAGACATTTAATATATATATATTTAATGTATATATATATGTATTTTTTTCTTACGTTGTTGAACGATGAAATAACATATGCATAGATTGGCTACTGTTGGAGGACACCTGGTAGGCGTCTAATGCCAGGTGAATCGGAATCCAAGTCACGTGTTCACTGCAGCACCAGTTGCCTCACCCCACACTTTCTGAAACAGCAGTGGTCTTTCTTTCTTTGCATGCCATCCCTTCTACCTTGCCTCTCGATGGTGAGAATTCTGTCGCTCTGGCACCCTCATCAAACCTGAAGCCTAAGCAGACTCAGTAACCATGTTTCCTGGCCCACAGGTGAACATCGACCATTTCACTAAAGACATCACCATGAAGAACCTGGTGGAACCTTCCCCGAGAAGTTTTGATCTAGCCCAGAAAAGAATCCATGCCCTGATGGAGAAGGATTCGCTGCCCCGCTTTGTGCGCTCTGAGTTTTATAAGGAGTTAATCAAGTAGTAATCTGATCAGGCTTCAAAAAATCCACCCTGTGAGTTGAGTTTCATCTTCTGTAATAACACAGCATCCCCCTAGTCCTGCACATTTTCCTATAACAGCTTTGTCCAAGATATCCAAAGGCAAATCCTAGACTGTGTTGCTAACTCTTTTGCTTGTGTTGACTTGGAGGTGGATCTGTTGTCTCCTAAGGGCCTTCACTCCTATTTCTTCTTTCTGACTGCTTTATAATGAAGGTCTGTCTACCAAGTTTCTGCTCGACTGAGTCACTGAAAAAAAATCTTGTTTAATGTAAAACTGTCTGTGAAAAGTATAGGTGATAGATTGTTCTTTAACTGGGCTGAAAAGACAAAAAGAAGCAAGGGTCCCCTTTCAAGGGGATTTGGTTGGTTTTCTTTATTGTTTTAATTCTCATCCTCTAATGATTTCTGAATTCAGCTAGTAAAAAGCAGGGAGATGTCCATAAGGCTGCCATCACTTGATTTTTAAGCAAGCACATTATTTACCATACTGAGCTCTCCCTCCTAGAATACCTTTGTATTAGCTGGACATTCTAAAGAAGAGATACAATGAATAGAGTATGCTTTACAAAATCAATCTGAAGAGATTTCATTTAAATTCAGCTCTCACACCTCCAAGTCAGCCTTTGACTCTCTCGATTAGAAATGCTAAGTACCCCAAAAACCTAATTGAACTATTTCTTGAGTAATGAAAACAATTTTGACTTTAAATATTTTATTCATACTAGTGGAAATATCAAAATGTCTGAAAATTCCCAAAAGAGTTACAAATTCACTTACATGGCTCCTGTTTTGGAGACCTCGATTGGCCATGCTTGCACACTGTGTGAGTGGCTAGGCTTGTCAGCGGAGGGTGAGGTGGGCAGGAAGGACGCCTCAAGGGCAGTGCTGTGAGGCTACAAAAGAGAGCTTCAGTAGTCAATGGCCTCATTATATATCTGTATCTCTATATAACTTTAAATTTAAAGCAATATATACACACATATATATATATTCTTCTAACATATAAGGCAGTAGATGGGAGGTAAGTATTCTGGCTCCAAAAGAGAAACCAAATGTGTTAAAGTTGGCTTAGAAACTTTTTGGAGGAAAGAACTCTCTGTGTTAGTAGCGGTTTCTATGGTAACAAGAAGAAAATACATTCTTTTAAATCTGAGAAATTAGAAAAAGTGGGATGACCTTTGGAGGAAAAGAATGTGTAGCACTTATTTAGCATTCCTTCCCCCTCCTCCCCCTGCTCTCCAGCTTCCCTTGAGCAAATTGTGTGAGAAAGTATGAAACTTAGTGTGTGAGCCTGTGGTACTTGTGTCTCACTCTTCCAGAGAGCACAGCCATGGCTGAACGTGGGTCTGGCATGTAGGGAAGTGTTGGGACTAAATTGTGATCAATGGACAAGAGGATTCGCTTCTTGTTCTTGAAGGAAGCCTATGATTAGCCTCGGAACTGACCCATAATCTGGGTTTCTGTCTGAGTTTGATATAGTTCTGGATTGAGGGTCACATTGATATTTAAATCAAATCGGCAAAAAGAGACCATCAGTTCAAAAGAAACTGAGGAGGCTGTGTCTCATGTGTGTCTGTTAGAACAGGGTAGTTAATGTAAACAGACACACACACACACACACACACTTCTATATAGAGGACACCTTTTGAAAGGCAGACTCAAATGCATGGAAATATTTTATTCTCTTCTCATACTCCAAGCACCATCATCATTTAATGTATAATTTGGACTTTAAGCAATTTTTCATTTCAAATTCAGGAGATGAACTTAATGAAAAAACAAGTTTTTCTTTTATCCCATCTACGGATTTCACTTGACTGATGCATTCTCTGTATAAAATCCATTCCAACAAGAATTAGATTACTTACTGAACAGCAGTGGGCATCCATTAACAAATCAATTAATAAACTAATAAGCACTCCTTTCTAGGGTTTTGCCAAACTATTCCATCACACAAGTGGTGGTTTAAGAATTGCTTAAGTGGCTAGTCAATTTGGAGGAATGACTTTCACTCCTGAAACTTAACAGGCATTTGCATCACTTCCTGGGAATTTAGCAGATTTGAAAGATAATGGGACACAAGGAGAAGGGGAATAAAGCAGAAAGAGGAAATAGCAAAGAAGTAAGTGCCCAGTCCTGTGATATTAGCCCTCTGACTAGGAAACAGAGAGGAACAGCCCAGTGTGAAAGAAGACCAAACTGTATCATACTGTTATCCTGGGGGTTTGCAGAAAGGCATTTCAGGCTCACAATGAGGCAAGGCAAAGACGTTCATCTTAAAATCCTACAGGAAACGGACTAGAGAAAATAGCAACTATGGAGGGCTTCTATTCCATTAAACCTGTGGGTGCCAGGAAGCAGGGAGTGGAGGGGCCAGTTTGGAGCAGCCAAGCATCCAAACCCCAGAGCTAAGGAACTCTAGGCAGGTTTGGGATATAGAGTCGTGGTGTAAAGGCTCTCGAGCATTGAGTTTCCCTCTATTCTACAAGCATTCTAGCACCCATTTAACATCCTCTTAGTACAAAGCCCTCTGGTGAACAATTTAAAAGTCACTTCTACTGTTAAACACACTTTCCCTAAATAAGTCCAGTGGCTAAGGAGAGCAATTGATAACCAAAGAAAAGTTTCCTGTAGCCCCAGTAACCACTGTGGGACTGAAAAGGTTGACTTTCACCACTGGATATATCCGGGACACTAAATGGAAGCTTATAGGAGAGAATGGTGACTACAACACATAGTCAGAATCTTTGGAGTTTTATTCTTAATTAACTGTTTACTATTAATCATATACATCAAGTAGAGAAGCTATGTAGCCATCGTACTCATATCCAGTTAAACATGCTTCTTACAAGTTATCCCTTCCCTCATTTGACATGCCTTTTTCCTCCTCAATCACTTACCCTCCTCTCTTCCCTCTCTGAAACATTGTGTCTCACTGTACTTCAGTAATAATGAATATGTTAAGAGCACTTAAGTTCCTGTCTAGGAAGAGGTACAGGCAAAAGCATAGCCAAAATAAAGGGGGATGCTGAGAAACATGCCACAGGAGGAAAGTAACCTCAATAATGTTTGACAAATATTCTGTCATGAAATCATCAGGACGTAAAGGAACGTAAAAGAATGCAGTTTTGGATTTTTTTTAAATTCTACAGCTTGGGAAGTCGTTTTTTGAGGGTAGAATGGAATAGAAATGAGAGGCTTTAGTAAGTCCTGTACCGACATTTTACTCATAAGTTTTAAATTCTGGACCAATTATGTTTGTTTTCTGTTAACTGTATCCAATATTTTGTGTAATATGTAACTCACTCTTTTTTGGTATGTAACTCACTCTTACTGATAATAAAATAAATATTAACCTATAACAGAAATCACATATTATATTAAATACTTATCTATGGAATGGTTTCCCACATTCTCTTGACTTCCAAACATTGTTTCAGGAAGCATTTTTTCCTTAGGAAAGGATAATTTCTTCTCCACACTACTTACAACATGTGAAATTTTGATCCATGGAAGGGATCCCCACCAACAAGAGTCATCCCAAAAGAGGCTGCTAAACAAAACTCAGAAAGCAAAAAATACGAAGTATTGAATCTCCTAGTGACCACTTCTCCTTAGGGTGGGGTAGAAATCACCTGTTGACCCAGCTGCTGGCCTTGTGAGAAGCAGGCTGAGAATGTGGTTAGTTTGAATCCTGTAATATCCAGTGCACATAGTAATTCTTTTCTTTCCACATATTGGTGAAAAGGCATAAATCCCAGAGTCACTGCGAACACTTCAAATCCCATGATTTTGAATCTGATTCTAAGATAATTTAGATGAGGAGTTACAGTCACACCTGGTGGAATTGGGACTGGATAGAAGGGCAAAGCTCGTGTGAAAAATGAAAAGGAAATTGGAGGCGATAAATAAGATCAGAAACAAAGATGAGAATTTGGGAAAGAGAAACAGGGAGAGATTCCTGGAGAGCAACTGAAGTGAGTTGTCATAAGGCCTAACTATATGTAACACAGATGTAATGCCCCCAATTCATTTCAATACCATCTATTTTCATGATTTTTAGTTATCTTGAATGAGTTTCCAGCAAAAAGTATTACTAATAAAAAAACACAGACACTTTAGGTGACATTGTCGATGTCACTGTGGAGGCAGTGGCAGAGCAGTTTAGAAATCTGATCAACCCTCACACTCCTGATTGGTCGCCAGGATCAGAGGAACTCTCTTGAGACCTGGGCGTTATGGGCTTTAACTTGAGCAAAGCAGGCCAAATGAACCCAGATCCAAGTGAAACCCAGTCCTGTCAGGTAAACCACGTCAGAAAGGCAGGCTCTCTAAGCTAGAAAATCTCCTAGGCAATTTTGAGAAATTGACATTTTATGAATTATTGGTGTATGAATTACTTTCCTGTTACTGTGACAGAACACCATGAGTAGGAGCAGCTTAAGGAAAGGAAGATGTAGGAGGAAAACAGAACTCCGCCATTAGCCATGTGACTTATTAAAGGAACATACAGATAAGGTAATAAAAGAGCGGTTTACCACACCACTAACCACACCCACTTTAGGCATGACTAAAGACGTATATGGACGTAGGCGGTGAAGATTTATTTTGGCTTGTGGTGTCAGAAAGATGAGAGTTCACAATGACCAAGCAGAGGCATAGAGGCTGCAACAGGAAACTGAGAGCTCACATCTTGAACCACAAGCACAAAGCAGAAAAAGCAAACTACAAACAGGGCAGTGCTATAATCTCCCAATGTCCACCCAAGGGACGTACTTCCTCCAGCAAAAGAGCTCCTAAAGCTTGACACACAGCATGGCCAACTGGGGACCAAGTGTTCAAATGCCTGAGACTGTGTGGCACAGTTCTCATTCAAACCGCCACAATCAGTGTTATTCAAACCACAGTCTTCCCCATGGCTTCTCTTTTCATGGCCTCTGGGTGCAGTCTTTGTTTGAATGAGTCTCGTCAGGCCAGTTCTTGGTTTTTTCAAATAATCCACTGTTTGGTCAAAACCTACCCTCTTAATGATTTGACTTCTTAAAAAAATCAAAGACATGGATGATAATTTTATTCAAAGACAAGCTTATGAGTCCTTGCTCTGTTTGGCAGACAGGTTTCCTAGCCAGATAGTAAGGTCTCTTTGAGACAACATTTCCAAGTTGTCTTCACCATGGGCTATCAAGTGGACTGGCGTGACTACAACCACACTCAGACAAATGGTGCTTCGAGCAACTGGAAGGACTGTGACGTGTGACATCTGTCTTGAATTATGCTGCTAAATGCCCAAAGTCTATTTGCTTCCAAACAGAATTCTTGAAAAACATAAGACACTTAAAAAGGTATTAGAGCACAAACAGAAGCTTAAATGAATAAGGGTGAGCAGAGATAGATGCATCTTTGTTTCCTTTGACTGAATATTTATTTAGACTTCTTAGTTTAGCAACTAAAACTCCAACCTACTCAGGTTTCTCTAGCAACCTAGCAACTAACTGACAATGAGTAGATAGAAGTGATAAAGATTTTTTAAAATTCCAAGTTCAGAAAATCTTGTCACTTTCAGGATGGAGAGTCACTTCTCTCTACAAAGGTTCCCTTCAGCTGAGAGACCGGAAGCTGGGGCATACAGATTTGGAGTCTGTCATGGACTCTCCTACATAGTCAAATCCCCACAGTGCCCACAGTGGTCACAGACAGGGATACATCACTGCCATCCTGATGATTCCTCCACCCTGTCTCCAATTCATCAATGAGGAACTTGGGTTCTGCAGAAGTCTAGTGATTTTTCTTCTGTCATGGATAATGTCAGTATTCTTCTAGATAATCCATTTGTGTACACTCATGTGCACACGCACACACACACACACAATATTTTCAAAGTTAAAAACACAGGACAAAATGCTAAAGAAATCCCCAACTCTACAGCCACTAGCATTCATGTGTATCTCTCAAGCTGTCATTTGCAACTCACTGTCCATCACTCAAAGTTCTCCATCATGTACTAGTTCTCATAGGAAGAATAACACATAATCCAGGAGCTTTGTGAGACAAAGAAGAAAACAACTGAGAGTATTGGATCAGATTGTTCTGAACTTTGGATGGCTTCCCATGCCCTGTAGCTATCCTTAGACAGCAGACCTCAAAGACAGAAGATCTTGCAGAGTGGTATGTGCAGACCCATACAAGCAACTTCATCGTTCATTGACTGAGTAACACCTCACATACCCACTCATTTAAAACTCACTCAAGGGCTGGGGGTACATTCCTGGAATGCACAAAGTTCTGGGGTCAATCCTGAGCATAGTGTATACCAGGCTTGGTAGTACATACCTGGAATCCCAGAACCCAGGGGTAGAGAGAGGAGGACTAGAAGTTCAAGACCATCTTCAAATAAGTAGAAAATCTAAGTCCAGCTCCAGCCTGTACTATATGAGACCCTGTCTCAAAAAGAGAAAAGTAAAAGCCCAGACATTGCTGTTAATGCAAAATACGAATTTACTTCAAAAAATTCTGAAGTATTAACTGCCTGCCATTTGGGATAATTTAAATCAAAATACAGTAGTATTACAGATAGTCTCCCTCAGAAACCACTTGTACATTGAACAGGTTGTCCTAACTAAAAATTGACTGCCATCACTCTGATGAATAGTATCCTAAGTCTTCAGCTGTCACACATGGCTCTCTAAGCTGGCAAGCCAACATGCTACTCAAAGCCCTGAAAGCTCCTACTATGCCAACCTCTCTCTTGTTCAAGGCCTTTCATTAGTTTCCACTGAATTCACCCAATTAACACACAGACCATTTTGGGGAATTTAGTAATCCAATGTCACCTTCTGAAAAGACACTCTCTTGACCCCCTCCAGACCAAATCTAAGCACAATGGTTGACACCCCTCTAGAATGATCAGGAAATCCTCTTGGAAGAATGTTAACAAAACAAAGGTGGTAATCCATGCAAAAGGCATGCAGAAAAATGTGCAGATACCATCTCCTCCTAAATTCCTAGGAAGACAGACAAATGAAGAAAATTGAAATTAATATGGCTTCTAGCTCTACCCTTAGGTAACAATGGTCCTCACACACACTGACATTCACGGTGATAAATACCAACTCAGCGAAGAGCAGCAAAGGCTGCTACCAAAGCAGATGGGCCACTGTAGGGCCATCAATAACCACAGAATCCCCTGGGCTCAGTCCCTACTGTGTTTCCTTCAAGGTGTCTGCACTACACACGCTGGTCTCTGACACTGGCACCTTTTCTAAATAAGTAGGTCAGGCATCTATCATGCTCTTTGTTTCCATGCATCTCCAGCCAATTTTCTAAGCAGGAACTGGAAAGGGAGAAGAGTAAATGAATTGTCTAGATTCTTTTCTCTGGCAGGTAACCATTTCGTGACTTTTCATTCTGATACCAGTTCTGTCTCACAGTGGGTGGTAAACATGGAGGGCAGGCTAATCTCACTCATTTGAACCCCTGCTTGCTTCCTCCAAAAAGGCTTAATGGCATTGGGGATTTGTTTCTTCCCAGTGTACTCTCTTACAATGACTAACTGTAAGTAAAGGAAATAAAATAGCCTATATTTTTAGCTTGTATGAAGGGGTCTTTTATTTTATTAATCAGCCCTCAATAAAGCATTGGCATATGAGGATCAAGGGAGTTGAAATCCAAATGAAAGCATTTATTTACAACCTAACCCCTCAAACCAAGTGGCAGTCTAAAAGGAGATCTCAAAGATCCAAAAGACAGGGATTGATAAAAAACCAAGTCTGTGGCTCTTTGAACTATAAATGCAGGCATCAGAAGATGACCATAAGGCTGGGAGAATGGATTTCTAGTCACACTTCATCTCCCTCTGGTTGACTCAGTCTCCTGTGGCTTAGATTCACATAATTTGAGTTGTAGGCTACATTCTTCCTCTACAGGACCTTAGACAGCACACATAATTCCTGAGTTGAGTCATTTTACTTTTATGCTGAAAGGGTATTCTGTAGCACAGAGAGAAGTGGTCTAGAGTAAATGAAATTAGTTAAATCTACAAAAGTGTTGTAAGCTGTGAAATAAACTCCCTAAGTAGGCCAGTTGCTTCTTCCACTATCTATTGTAGTTTCCTTTCCTGTGTCGTGATAAAACACTGGGACCATAAGCAACCAAGGGAAGAAAGGGGTTGTTTAACTTATACTTCGAGGTCATGGTTCATTTTCTGAGGGAAATCAGGGCCGAAGCTCAAGTTGTTCTTGAAGCAGAAGCCAGATAGCTTAAATAGTTTTCTTCTATAGCCAAGAACCACCTACATAGGAAGTGGTGCTACCTACAATGAGATGAGCCCTCCTATATCAATTAACAATCAAGACAACCTCCCACAGACATG